GATCAGTTGTAAGATTCTGATGGTGGATGTTGACTTAGACAAGGTTTGTTATTTTGATTGATTGATAATTTGAATTGTTGTTTTCTCAAATTGTTTCTGTTTAACTCAAAACCCCTGCCGTTGTCACGTGACATTAAATTCAGCTAGACACTCTCCGTGGGAATGATCCTGACTCACACTACTACATGTGTTTTAGGTTTTAATTCTGGGTGCTACGACAGCACACCAAAACCGATAGATCCTATTCTTCAATACAAAAATCTTTACTTCATGATATCTTACTTGAGCAAAGGCTTCTGCTTTTATCCATTTAGTGAAGTAGTCGGTGACCAAGCACTATACACCTTCGACTCGATGTGGTTGGTAGTTTCCAATGATATCTATCCCCCACTTCATGAATGGCCAAGGCGTGAGGATGAGCTGAGTCATTTTGGAGGTAGATGTGACACTTGGAGAAGCGTTGGCAACTGTCACACCTCTTGGTGTATTTGGTTGTCGACCACAAGGTGGGCCAGTAGTAGCGGTTTTCAATGCTTATTGGCGAGGCTTCGTCCCTAGCATGATTGGCATATCGCATCGTGGGAGTTCTGTAGCCTTCATGATGTGAACATGCTAGACACTTAGAGATGAACTGCTAGGCGGGCCATCCTTCCAATGAGATGTTGCACGTCTTTTATGCTAGTTGGAGATGGATGCCCAAGATTGCCTTGATCTAATTGGATTGGCCCCAACCGCATACGTAACCATATATCCTAGAAACTTCCTCGAGGATACACCGAAGGAGAATTTGGCCGGATTCAGTCCATATTGTTTTCCATAGCACCTTGAAGGCTTGTCAAATGTGGTCGAGGTGTTACTTGGTGATTAGTGACTTTACTAGCATAAGTCGATATAGATCCATACAGTCCTAGAAAGTTGGAGAACATTTTGTCAGAGTCGTTGGTATATGGCTCCACATTCTTAAGTCGAACGACATCACTTTGTAGTAGTAGATGCCTCGTTGGTGATGAAGGCAGCTTTCTTGGTCATCTGAGTGCATCAGTATCTGTAGTAGAGAAGGCCATAAAGCTAGTGGTGACATCCACTAGCATTTCTATGTGAAGGAGTGGGAAGGAGTCCTTAAGACAGCATTGTTTAGGTCGGTGAAATCAATACAAACTTCCATTTTCCATCTTCCTCTTCACTACCAATGTTCGCCAACCAATCTGAGTAGTGGACCTTCGAACTGAGTATTGCTAAGTGTTTCTCCACCTCCTCGTTAATCACCTTATTTCTCCAGCGAATTCTTCTCCTCTGTCACAGGAGGGTAGTCTAGATCGGCATTTAGCCAGTGCCTATAGCTTTGGGTAGATCCTGGTCATGTCAGAGTGAGACCAAGCGAAGCAATCTTGGTCTCCTTTAGGAAGTGATGACCTTTCTTGGATATCAGGTATGGGCTAAGCTCTACTTGTGTCTTTCGGTCAGAAACTTGGTGGGACTAGACTTCATCCAGTTCCTCATAGTTGGTTGATCCGGCTCTGTCTTCCATGGAGGTGTCTGTAATTACTACATGGTGCCACGGTTCGCCTTGAAGGCATTTTGATAACAATCTTGGAAGCCTTCTGATATGCCCCACTTGCTGGAGGAACCTGATAGTCTGATAAATAGTCAAAGGAACAGCCGTATGCCATGAATCCACGACTGATCGAGGATCATATTGTAGGGGAAGGGGCATCTGTATCATGAAGGTGGTTTGATGGTTGATCCCTTGGCACAGAACGCGTAGGGATCTCTCCTGGGTGTACTTTTGCTTCAAGCTGAATCCTACGAGGAGATTTGGCACGATTGATGCTAGATTCGTCCAATCCCATCACCTTGAATGCTTTAAGGAAAATGATGTTTGCTAAGGAGCAAGGTCAACTAGGATTCTTTTGACAATGTTGCAATCTGGAGTGTGATTACAAGTGTATCATGGTGGGGATTTAGAGTGGTGCGCCTCACTATCCATGAATTCTATGGTCAGATTGGTGCTCCTACGTGTTGGCCTTGAGTGTTGGAGCTGTAGGTTGCCTGTAGCTGGGCGTGGCGCTTTGCTGAAGAGTAGCTTACCCCCTAACTTTTGATCCCCCGAGATAACTCCGATATTCCATTGCTGGAGGGGCTTTGTGTGGAGGAGAAATTGGCTATCTCTATTCATCATGTGCTTTCCCCTTGTTATCAAGAACTAGCGGAGTGTCCCATTTTAGCAGCTTAGCTACTAGGCAAAGTCACAATACAATCAACGGTTTGTGGCCATGGTCTCCTGGAATTCACACTATTTGGTGGTGTCCGCTTTGCTCCAGGATTTTCAATGGCTAGCCATCTGACCACGTTCCATCTCTTTCATCAAAATGCTACTCCACTAGCTCGATAGTAAGGTTATACTAGGGAGGATGTGAAATGAAGAAACCAATATCTCTTCATCACATCCTCCCTAGAAAACCCAAACTCAACTGAAATAATGGCTACACAATAAGAAACCATTTCACTTAAACACAAAACACAAAGACGCAGCATTATGATTAAGAATTCCTTGAAATATACTGATTTTAATGCATTTCATTAGAATATATTATTTCCCTCATTATTTCTTTTTCAATTAAAATATATATATATTTTTTATATTTTCTGTTGTTTATCGTAATTGATTAACTAGTGAAACTTTGAAAATAGATAATTATAAGCACTTTAAATTGTTACTGTGTCTTTTGATAATATTATTCTACAATATTATATGAGAGCATGCAGGCTATTTGATATCAAAGTTCGACCTACCTAGAGTTACAAAGAATCTAACGTAGTTTGGCAATTTAGGGACGTTTAGTTGGAGGTTAAGGAAGATTAATGGGGTTATGTTATTTTATATTACTTGATTACCATGTTTGGTTGTCAAGTAATATAAGATTCTGATAATCTTGCATTATCAATAATTGTTACTGTTGGTAATATTGGAAGTAATCTGATTATTTCTATTTTTTTAGGTATTGTAAGATTATCAAAGTAATCTTATTTTTGTTACAATTTTATCCCTTATTAATAAAAATTTTGGACAATAATGCCCTTATTTTAAAATAAATTTACATTAATATATTATTTCAATTTTACCCTTGTTTAATTAATTTTTTGGACAATAATACCTTTATATTTAAAACAAATTATAGACCACCACTGCCACCTAGCCACCACCGCCGACAGCGGGCCAACCACCAGTGACCGTCGCCGGAAAGTCGTCGGAGTCCCTAAAAAAGACCGAGATTCGGTGGGAGGCTCCGATATGACTGTTTCTGGTCATATTGATGGCTGAAAACAGCCATATCAGGCCAGATCTGGCCGTTAATGGCCAAATCTCTGGCCATTAACGGCCAAATCTGGGTGAGATCTGGTTGATAATGGCCAAAGATCTGGCTGTTTTCGACCATCAATATGGCCAGAAACAGCCATATCGGAGCCTCGTGGTCACGGTAAGGTACTCACGACGACTTTTGGAGACTTCTGGCGATGGTTTGCGGTGGCGGCAGGGGGTGGGGGTCATTTCGTCATAAATTAAAATTCTATAAAAGAGGGAGTGTTTTAGCTAAATCTGAAATATTGGGGGTTAAAAAAAATTATTAAAAAATTAATAATAAAAATATTATATTAATATTTAAAGAGGAGATAATTTAGTAATTTAAATAACATATCCATCAAGTTATTACCCCTAACCAAACATATTAATATAACGTATCCATTAACTAACCAAACACATTTTCTTAATGATTTCCAATAATCTTCAAGGTACTATAAGATTCCAGTAATCCAACATTCCCTGAACCAAACGCCCCCTTAAGAGTATAAATTTGTAACACGTACTACTTAACATGTTCAATCCTTTCAGTTGAAAATACCATGAGGATGCGTAGAAAAAATATCTACCCAGAAATTATAGCAAGACGATAATTTAGAAAAAAAGAAATTCATAAATTTATAAAAATGACTATTTCAGTTCACATATTGTTTTGCCCATAATGAAGACACAAGATTAACAATATATTGTATTAATGGTTAGGATCCAAGAACAAACTTGTTTTATCAACAGTTTTATGCATGATAACAAAAACTGTGAAAAGATGTTTAATATTTGTGCTTTTATAAGAGTTTTTAGAGAGAAAAAATAATTTTGGTATGATTTTTGTAGTGCCCGACACCGACAAGACTCAGCAATAGATTAAAAAGTAAGACGAAAAGAGAGGACAAAAACATTTAACACGGCTTAAGAGAATTCTAGACACATTGAACTACATCCACAAGCTCCATAAGCATTAAGTAAGCAGCTGTTGATTTCTGACTGTTTTTTTGTTCATTCTCATGATTGTCTCAGCAGTGGAGTTGATAACAAAAATGTGAAAAGATGACTTTTTTTTTTTCTTTTTTCTTTTTAAACAAATTGGATATTTAGTATTTATCCAAAATTAGGCACTTTCGTACTCATGTTTGTATACTTTCTTTGATCATAAAAAGACCAAACTTTATCTTTAAGGATTATAGTTATAGAAAATTTAACATAGATCATTATTTAAAAAAATAAAAATGAAAATGAAACTTAAATAATTCTAAATATGAAAACATTTGAATTCCCACAAAACCATCTTTCCTTAGAAATTAGAAACAATGACAGTCGTTCAATGAGAGCCCTTCACATTATCCCTTATTGAGATATTATTTGATTACATTTGTTACAGTAGATTAATATGGGGACCATGACTCCAATCGGATATTAGATCTTAAAAAAAATAAAAATAAATAAAAATAAATTGCTTATGCAATCTTTTGGAATTTATTTTCCGCCAATAACTCTAGGCAAATGCTAATCTGCTTTCTTACTGTCATAGCATAATATATTAATATAACTTAACTTGAGGATATTTTAATTTCTAAAACAGGATAATTTTATATTAAGTCAATAATAATAATAATAATAATAATAATACTCTAGAGGACGTCCATAGAGCCTGGACGCAGTGAGACATAGTTCGAACGAGACTTCTATGTCAGAGAACATGCATTATCTGGTGGTCGACATTTCAAGTGTTAAAATAAACAATAAAAAATCCAGAAGTAATATCTTTCACAAAATCACGAGACGCTAATTTTGACATATTTCATAATGCCAACAATACATGATGATCTTCATCTTCATTGATCAGAAACTTGTCTATGATTCTGCAGAAACTCAACAAATTTGTGAACGTACTGATCGTGAAGTTCTTCATCTGCAAATAAAACCCCCAATTCCTTTGCTTTCTCTCTGTAAATTCTTCCTTCTTCTTCAACTATCACCAACTTCAACGCCTCCGCCACCGACTTCCGTGTATATGCTCCATCTTCCTCATTTCTCGCTATCTCTATCCCCGCCTTCTTCTCGGCAAACACTCTAGCAATCAACCCTTGGTCCATGGAGAAAGGTAGCAAAACCAATGGATGCCCAAAGTAAAGCGACTCTGTAATTGAACTAAATCCACAGTGAGTCAAGAATGCTCCCACCGATTCATGAGCTAATATCCTGAGCTGAGGTGCCCAACTCGTCCAGACCACTCCTCTTCCCTTCACTCTTTCCTCGAACCCATCTGGAAGAACTATCGTTTCATCCCGATTTCTCAGCGCCCAAAAGAAAGGTAATCCGGATAACTCGAGCCCCAAAGCCAACTCAGTCAACTCATTTTGACTCAAATTCAACTCGCTTCCAAAGGCAACATAAATAACCGTCTTTCTCCCCCGTTTCCCTAACCACTCGCTAATTGTAAGCCAGGTGCTATCTTCATTAGCGTCTCTGCTATCGTGAGCTGTGGGTGGCAACAGCCCTATAGGAAGAACTGGTTTACCATGAAGCTCTCCCACGAGGTATATCCACTCTGATTCAATCTCCATGCAGCTTCTTACAGCTATCACATCACAACCCGCCATTACCGTCCCCACACGAACGATATCTGTGACTCCCGAATCGTTCATCTCAAAGTGACCAAAAAATTTTTTCGCCTCGTAAAGCCGATACGCAACTCTGGTATCAAACGATACCCACTTCGGAGGAACCGTGAAATCTTGCGGCTTAGTCCGTGGATCCTTGCCGTTGATCATGGCAGACGATGATGGTCCACCGTAACAGATGGTCCAAGCCTGGAAGATGCTGAAGAAGACGCTGGAGATTCCAAGCTTGGCTGTTATGGGTGGTAACCAGTAAGGCATAGCGTCGTAAATAATCCAATCTGGAGTTGATTTTTGTAAAAATTCAGCCAAGGAATCTTGGAGATTATCGTAGGCAATTTTAAGATATGGGATTTTGTGAAGTGGCAAATCATTAGTGGCCTCTGCGTCTTGTGGAAGATTATCCTGACGGGGTAAAGCGAGGCTCACAAAATTCATCAAGGAAGATAAATTCGGAGGGATTTTGGGAAGGCGTTGGATGTTTCTGGGAGTTGAAATGAAAGAGATTCTGTGACCCTTTTGAGCGATGCGTTTGGCAAGTTCAAAGTATGGAATCATGTGACCAAAGGCTAGCCATGGAAACATAACAATCTGAAGCGATTTAGCAGTAGCCGCCATGGCTATCAATCAAATTACAGGCGTTTTTGTGACCCTTGTTGGTTGTATTATGTGGTAATGCAGATACTATGGAAAATAAGATATTTAAAAGAAGGATCCAGAGTTTGTACGAAGCACACCAGCTACTGCAAGGTCCCATGCTAGTATTCTATACAGTGGCTAAGTGCGTGTACATTCGTCAACAAGGAGTTAAAAAGATTTAATCTTCAAATTCTGAAAAGACAAGTACAAGAGACGGTATATATATATAATTGTTACCTTTTCATCTTCGTGATTTCTCTCTCTCATCCTTTTATTTATTTATTTATTTTTTTTGTCTTTAAAATCCTTTTTGTATAAGTTTTTGTAAAGAGAATATTTTTCTTCTGAAAAATGATACTTTGGTTTCATTATTTATTTCTTTAAATGCTTCAGAGTCATCTGATCAATACTATGCTTATAAATAGTCATACAATGACATAAAAAATAAAGGATAAAATAATTATTTTATATGATAATAATATTTTACTTACAACTTAGTTATACAATTAAGTCATACAAACAGATAAAAATTACACAAAATTTATATAAAATGACTATTTTGTCTTTTATTTTTTATCTGTTTGTATGTCTCAATTGTAAGTAAAATATTATTGTCATGTAAAATGACTATTCTGTTTTTTATTTTTTATTTGTTTGTATGACTCAATTATAAGCATAATATTACTTTTTATATAAATCTTGTGTAATTTTATCAGATTATATGACTCAATTGTAACCAAAATATTATCGCAGTCATTTACGTCCTTGCCTTTAAAAGCTCTTTCTGTTAAAATCGTTTAACAGATTAAAATTCCCATAATTTTTTGCCCATAAAAATTAAAAACTTAATAACTCTTCTTAACGACCAACACCTACCTACCTACAAATCGTCACCATCCACCACCACTGTCAATCATTGTTGATGCGTGATTTTGAAATCAACGACTCGCACGTGCAAAGTGCTAAGCTGTTCTTAGAAATTACACTTGAACAATTATATTAGATAGAAAGACTGAACAATAAATGAGAAGTATGATTTTTAAAGTGGTTCAGATGCTTAAAGCGAATCCTACGTTCACTGTTTCTTTTATATATGAGAGATTACAAGAGATTGCATATAGCGAACAACAAACAGAGAAACAATAATTGAGTATTCAGAGAGAATATCAAGTCAGTCTCTTTTCCGTAGATTATCCTTGCTCTGAAAATAAAGATTACAATCAGAATTAGGGTTCAATATCATAATCCTTAAAATGAGAGGGGGAGTCCTCTATTTATATTAGAGGAATTCAAGGTAATGATTACAAATCTGCAAGTGGGTAGATGCCATGTAAGTTCTTTCTTGCCTCCCATTGGCAGATAACTTAGGAAATATCCTTAAATTATCTCGGGCTTGGACAGGTGTGCGGTCCTCAGTCACTCATAAAAAAAACCTGAATCTGTTAAGTTGGTGACAACCATATTCTTTCCATCATGGAGCAACGTGGCAGCTCCTAGACGGCGCAAAGCTTTCTTGAACTCTGATTGGTGCTTGTTGATGTAGGCTAACGTTAGCCCTGATTTTTTAGGTATAACAGACGCTCCCCAGTTCTAAAGGTTCAAAGATTGAATCTTGAGAACTTCATGATTATGCTGCGACCTGACTTGTTTCAAGGAGTGTTTGCCCGAACTACCAGTTGAGAACAACCAAATTGTTACAAACGACATGAGGCTGATAGTTTGACATGACCAGCCAACTGAGTGTAGATCGTGACATGGGTCTTGAGAACTACACAAGTGACTTGACGTGATCATTCACAAAGGTCTAGTGACCTGAGCCAGATCATGATCAGTGCTATGAAAATATGTTTCGTACTCTACCTATCATTCACAACTTGAAAACACTTAGAACATTTTGCTGTCGACAATTGAGAATCATTTTGTTCAGTGTTCGAATTTGACATGTGGAAAAAATGTCTTATTCGAACGACCTCCTCAAGTGTTATTTGTTGCGTTTAACAACTATCTTGGTCAATAAAATAAACTTTATCTGACAGACGTGTCTTTGCGCAATAAGTGTCAGCCATGAGCATTAAATGCAAGCCATGCTGAAACGATATTCCTTTTTGAAGCATTAAATGTGGATGAGGGAGCATTTACTATGGGAGAGATAATCACACCGACGTTTGACGTTTCAATAAAGAGAACTGCCAGTTGATCTTCACGAAGCGTGAAGGTTACTCTTCGCACAGATCAGTGACACATGGTCACAATCAATGGCTAGAAATGCATTCCTGCCCAAATGTCGCTTATAAAAGAAACCAAGCGTCGTCTTTCACCTTATAAAACCCAAAGCCCATTCTAACTTTTTTCATAGAACTCAAACTTTCAGAGAGGAAAATAGCATTTTTGCACTCAAAAGATTAGTCATTTTCCTTACTGATGCGCACTCAATGTTATGACAGAACATCCGTTCCCAGCAACCAAGAGGTAAAGAAATTTCTTCTCTTTTTCTCTTTTTCATTCCTGTAAAAAAACTTAGTTTTTAAAGTAATGGTGAGTGTGAACGTCTGGTAGACTTAGATAATGAAAATTCTCGGGTAGTGTTTGAAAAGAAACACTTTTAAGAGTCAAAACTCAGGCCATAGATCATTAGAAAATCTTTCTTAAGAATTTTTAGGGTTTTGACGGCTATGGAAGAGGAACTAGGGTTATTTTACTATTCTGAGTCGTCGTATGAGGTAACTTATGTAGAGTTTGAGTCACCTTTACATGTTGCCCTTTTACAAACTAACTGATGTGGAAATGAGCCAAATCGAAGGGCCAGGCGACCAAAACATGGGCATGGCAGGTTGAGGTGTCGACAACTAAGAAAGAGCATAACGCATCGCCTGCTGGACTCGTACGCAAGTGTGTGCGATCGATTGTGTGAGGGACATCGCTCGAGTGAAGATGGCAGCGGCTGGAACTCAGTGAAAACTATGTCGACGCAGCTGAATCGGAGGGCCAGTCGATTGGGGAGGGTGAGAGGAGGAGTGAGGGCTGCAGTGGGCACCGAAAAATGCCAAAAATAACCAATGGTGGTGAATGTGGTTTAGGGAGGGAGAGAGAAGCGGCGGAAGAGAAGTAGTTTTAGAGAGAGGGTACTTGTGAGAGAAATTTGAGATGTGGAGGGTTATTTTGAAATTTTTATTTTCATTTCAAATTTAATACTGATAAAATGGCCATTTTATCCTATAATTGTTTCATTAAACAATTTTATATTAATTTACGGGTGGAAATCTGAAATTTATGGAACAAAGGGTGGGAACTTGCCATTTCACGAAACCTTGGGTAGGAACATGTCGTTTACTCTTATGATATTGGAATCTTTTAATATGAGATAATGTTTTTACTTTGGAATTATTTTAATTTGAAAAGGGTTTAGTGAAAGGGTAAGAAGGGTTTAGTTCCTGCTGCAAAAAAGTAAAGCCCTGAAAAATTGCAAAGAAAATGATAGATTTATTCCAATAGGAAACTCTAGAAACATTAATTACATCATCCAAATTATAGACTATTACTACAAACGTTATGAGTGTTCTTAGAATATGCTACATATATAATCTTAAGTTCTGATGGCTTTTTTTTTTTTTTTTTTTTTTTTTTTTTTTTTGTGACTTGTGTGTTCGCCAATTTGCACCACCTCAACTAGTTTTCTGGGACCCTAAGGTGCACGACCAGGTAAATCTCCTTAGTGGCCACCCCTATTAGTGTGGAACCTCGAACTCAGGAACTCATGTTGGACCCCTTTACTCTTTTACCATCAAATCACCAATGATGGTTCGGTGGCTTTTAGTCACAAGAAATATAAATATCTTTCAAAATATGAAATTATTGATGGAAACTTTACCTCCAAAACTATTCACGAAAATATTTGTAAGCCTTCATAAATCTGCTTAAATGATGTTATGCTGATAAAAATATATTTGACTAAATAGAAACTAATACAACATTTGAGAAATCATATTGAATCTAGAAATAAGTTTAGAGATGAAGATGATACTTCATATTATTATGAAATCTTAGAGTTTGATGCAATTTATTGTTGTAATAATGTGTGAATAAACAAACACAAGGAAAAAAGAAATGCAATTTGTATTGTATTTTCTTATTAGTACAGTAAGGGATATTTATACAATATAATTTGAAAGATTACTACATTTAGAGGATAAATATAGGTGGATAAACACATTAGGGGATACATACAAGAAATCAAATAGATAATCAAGGGATTGAAATCCCTTCATTACAGTATTTTAAGCATCCTTTCAAGCTCAAGGTGATGTAGTAGAAGCTAGTCAAAGTTTCGAAACCAAGTCAATGAACCTTGTAAAGGTTGAAGAAGACTTTGAGAAGATGTCAATTGGCTTATAGTAAACACTAAAATTTACAATTGAATGGAAAATAGAATCTTGTGAGGCGAGCCACTGACAACCTAGATGGACTTGCGGAGGGTAACCCTGAGGCTAGGGAACAACTTTAGCAATGTAGGAAAGTTGAAGTTGGTGGTAGGTTTGACAGTACGAGAGTTGGAGCTTAGGGTTGATTTCTGAATGCCTAATAAGAGAGTCAGCCTCTATTTTTATAGTGAACTCAGGGGGTCCGAATCCTAATAGGACTCCGAGGCCTACTTGGTAGATGAGTTCCCTTTTTCAAAAAGAGATTAGATTTTCTACCTTTATCAGTTTAGGCTTTCCTCTTTCAGTGAGATATGGGATCTTGTTAAAATAAGAATATGACTAGGATTCTGATCCTTGTTATGGACTTTTGTGGGTGAATGGGCCGGACCTAGTTCAGCTTAACTTGGGGGATGGCCCAACTGATAGAGTAGGCAAGTCCCAAGGTACTCTAAGCGTGGGCTCAATCGGGATTGGGCCAAAACTCTGGGTTGTCACATATTAATGATGCTATTGGACCTCATCAGGTCCAGTGCGAATTTTGGCCCATACAATTTGTCCCATACTCTCTAAGTTAAAAGGTATTTAGCTTAGAGAGTAGATTCTCTCATTCGGGATGCTAGCTTAGAGAGTAGATTCTCTCATTCGGGATGCGGATAGGTCGTGGTTCCCAGGTGGAGAGTTCGATCGTCAAATGCATCCAGGGGAC